CAGACAGCCAAAGCTAAATCAAAGGCTAGCACCTCAGGCTAAAAGGTAAAAAAAAAAAAAAAAAAAAAAAAAAAAAAAAAAAAAAAAAAAAAAATCTAGTTTAGGTGAATGAATTTTTTCAGAGTCATAAAATAACATTTTACATCAGCAATGTTTTTTTTTTAATGAAGTTTTGAGGACACTTATGGGCCCAGATCAGCATGAAGGGAACTGCGGCCAGTCATGGCTTCCACAGAATGTAGGATGCTAAAAGAACGCCTGCACACATGTGGCTTTACAAAAAGCAAACAAACAACAAAAAGTACATTTTATACACATGTGGATAATGTTGTTGGTATTCTTCCACAATAATCAAAAAACAAATGATGTGAGGGGTCTAAAAGCTCCAGTTTTATCTCATAAATCCCAGAAATGTCTCCCAAACCTTTGAGGCTTGTCAACATTGGCTTTGGCAAAATTCAGTCTGGCTTTTTTGTGTTTTTCTGCCAATAGCAGGACCATCCTGAGTCTCCCATGGAGCCCATTATGATTCACTGAGAAGAGTTAGGGTTAAGGTTAGGGTTAGGGTTAAGATGGTGCGATCAGAAAGTGACGTACCTTGATCTTGGATGGCTCTGAATGGTTTTCTTGGGTCTTTTTCTTTGATCAATCCATTATCTTATCAACCGAGGCTGCATTTACTCTTGCGTCCACATCCTGCAAAGTTGTCTACATATAACCTTGTACTTTTTTAACAATACAGTCAGTTATGGTCAGAGGACAATTATGCTACTTGGAGATGATCTTGTAGCCTTTCCCTTTAAAACACTGATCTTTCTTTCTGAGCCTTCGTGCAGCTTTTACCATTTTTTTCTGCTCCATGTCAGTGTGGTGCACACAATGATAGCAAACAACCCAGTGGCATGTTTATTTCCTTTAAATAGTCTGAATGGTTGATGAAATGCTTGAAGGCATCTGTGATGCTAATTAAGGTCAAACATTTAGTTCTAAACATGACTATAAGATCAAAATCTCCTTTACAGTACCAACAAATCTGCCATACTTTTTTAGCCTCTTTGTCACAAAAAAACAACAAATTATTTATTTTCACCATTTTTCATTTACTAAGTCATGTCATGAAGGTATGCAGATGTATATTAGACATTTGCTTTTGTCTTTCATAAAAAAAAGAAGTATTGTTTCAATGAGCTCTAAGAGTATCGACAAATTTATCCACGTTTGTACATCAGAAAAACTGAGCTATCTCAGGAGGAATGGGATTGAGTTTTAGATAATTTAAGGATTCTGTTTTTCCCCGCACCCTGGCCGTTCTGAAGAGTTTTTCAGAGTCTGCTAAATAATCAGACAGATTTCTTTAATTCTCCGCATTTATTTTAGGTTTTTTTTGCCTGTATTTCAACAACAAAACCGAATAAATGTTAATGACCCTGAGACAAGACTTCCTCTTGATCACCTTGTCTTAATTTTTATTTTTTCAAAAACATTACCAGTACTTTGTAGTTTGTTGTGGACGCTGTGAGCCGGTGCTGTGCTGCTGTGCGTGCATAGATTTGTGTTTCTTTAGTCTCCTCCACTGTGTCATTAGATGGCCAGTGCTGTGTCATTATGGAGCAAAGGCATGGGTGGAAGGAGCAGGAGAACAAGGTTCAGCAATCACTCTCCCTCTCTAAGATCCTCCTCCGCATGTCCCCATCTGTCCGTCCGTCCATCTGTCTGTGGCTGCTTATTTCTGTCCATTTCCTGGTCTCACTCTCTCGTGCATGAAAATGCAGATTTACTCCTGGCTCAGCGTCTACATCTTAAGCTGCGTTGTGAAAATGGGCATATTTTCCTTCCTGAAACTGATGAGCTCATCTTTTATGGTGCCAAATATTATATCGAGTGAAGTGACATTTTGGATGAGTAGCAGCAAACATCAAAACTCTTAAATGAAAGGTATTTTTATTGAGATGCACTCTTATTTGGAAATAATCTCCTTTAAGGGTTTGGAATGTTCCTTTTCTCCACCACCTTTTCCATCAGCCAAAGTTCCCAACTCTTGATCTAGTCCACAGCTCGGCTCCTCATTGGGATATATTTCCACTTTACCTTTCATCCTTTTGTATTAGAACGGCTTTAAAAACACATCAGGGGCTGAATGACCTCTGAGATGATCTCCTCAGATTACAGCTTTAAGTCACAAAGTTTGAAGAGGCTTTGATGAGTAGAAAAGTGTCTACAGATGTCTGGATTTAAGCAATGAAATAACCTAAAAATGTCCTTGGAGAATACTAAACAAGGAAAAGGGATATGAGGCATATTTATGATTGATGTGGTTAAAAATATTTGATTATGAACAAAAGATAACATCAAACAAAGTTCAGTCGGGTCATCTGAACAGTTTCTTTTTTTGTTGAGACATTTTGTCCTTCATCCAAAGAACTTCATCAGTCCAAGGAGCCACAACAAACTCAGTCCCACAAGCAGTACATTCACATAGTGGACCAACCAGTTGCTGGTGATAAGATGGTTTCTGGGGCTCACCCTCTCCAGTCGACTCCTCTGAGGTAGCCAAAGCCAAAGTGATCTCAACAAAAAAAGAAACCGTCCAGATGACCTGACTGAACTTTGTTGGATTTTCTATTGAGCATGAACTTTGATGTTTTGAACCACTTTGACTATGGCTGCCTCAGAGGAGTCGACAGGGGAAACCATCTTATCACCAGCAAACTGGTTGGTCTATTATTTGAGTGTGCTGCTTGTGGGACTTACCTGTAGTTTGTTGCGGCTCCTTAGACTGATGAAGTCTTTGGATGAAGGACGAAATGTCTCAAAAAAAGAAACCGTCCAATTGACCTAATTGAACTTTGTTGGATTTTCTACCTGGATTATTGAGCATGGACTTTGATCAAAGTAACTATTTGAAGATAATAAAGTTCCAGCACAAATGAGCTTTGTGGAAGCGATGCAACACATTTATGGTTCCGCTCTGTAAAATCACAATATTTATTGTCTGCTGACAAAAGATGAAGGCAGATAAAGAAAAATATTAATTGGATGTACATCTACAACTCAGCTTTTGGAGTGAGCCCAATTCAAGATGGCCACCACAGCTACTCAACATCAGCGTACACAAAAATGGATATACCTTAGTGAAATATACAGATGTTTAGCTACAGGTTGGTGTGGTAGTAGCTGACAGTCATTCAAAAGAGAGACTCCAAACGCTAAACAGATCACGCAAGATCTTGTAATATTTCCTAATGCATGCTCAAAAATCCAGGTAGAAAAATCTAAAAAAAGTTAAGTCAAAAGACTTCTTCAGTCTGACTGAAGAAGTCTTTTGGATGAAAGACGAAATGTTTCTACATTTTTTTTTTTGTTTTGCTTTGTTTTGTTTTTTGAATGTCCAGAGGACCAGACTCAACTTTTTTAGATCTCGTAATATTATTTAATATCATTTTTAAGGTTTGACCAAAACAGCTGCAACTTCCTCATTTTTACACATAGGACGATCTTAGTTTAAAATACTGGTGTAAAAGGGGATGTGTGATATACATTACTTCAAAAAAATAACATTATTGAAGTAAAACATTTAATAGATGTGTCACACATGTTGGGTTAGCTTTGGACAGAGAAATGCTTTCAGATAAACATTTTTAGCTGATAATATATAAATTGTCAAAATATTCAACTTTTGCCTTAAAACAATATTTAAAGATTTTATAGCATGTGAGGTTAAAGAGGTGTTTAGTTGCTGCTTTTCTTTTTCATGAGCTGTAGTCCAGACTTGCACTGGATGTCAACATTTAGTCACAAATCAAAGTATTTCAGTTTTCATGGACAGAGTTGTCTGATCCAAATGGAAACGTACGGTTACCTTGTTGTTGGCGTGCGATCTTTTTCGCTTCTCATGTGCAAAAGCATTACTGTCACCAATCTGCTCAAAGCGAGGGGGGCCGTAGACAAGTTGCTGCGGGGCCATCAGCTCCAACGGCTGAACACAATTCACAAAAATGTGTTTGCACACATCTGCTCCTGTGAGAATGAAAGCAAAGACAACAAATTTCACGTTGCCATAGTAACAAAGGGAAGTTACTCCACATCGCTTAAATGTTGTCTGAAAGGTGTTTTGGTCCTGTTTACTGTCTGTTAGACCCAAATCCTGGGAAGACAACACACACACAACCTACACCTCACTGCCCCCTCTTCCTTCATCCAGGAGAATAGACGGCAGTTTGTTCTGCCTCGCTTTTATCTTTCTCTGCTGTAAAGGAGAACAGCAGCGTGACGGGTCAGACGTTTGTTTTTCTTTTCTTATCCCCAGCCTGAATCATTCACTCTTCCTTCCATCAAATATAAAAGAGAACTACAGAAATTTTATACACACACCCCCGACATGTGAGGTGGTCAGACAAGAACAGTCACCAACAGTCTGTCTGATTGTGTCTCTACACATGTAAGAGCTGTCAGAGGAAAGTCTTTGTCATTTCCATCATGTCAGCTGACCATGTGGGAGCTCCAATATTAACACCCAGTTGTGCATGTTGGTCATGTGTGGGAGTGTGTGTGCATGTGTCCCTCTGAGCAGGAGGGTGCCGGACTGCAAAAGCAGAAAGAGCAGTAATTATGGCCTCCCATGTTCAGCAGAAACATCAGAGGGAAGTAATTTGTTGCTCTATATTTAATCAGTGGAGATAACGAGAGTGACTGCAGCCGTCTGGGCCTTATGGGCAGGCACACAAGCGGGAACACCATTTCCTCCAAAACCCATTAGTCTTTAATGTTGCCTTATTTTCATACTTTTTTGCTCAAATAATCATTATTGCCTTTTTCATCCCAAATGTATTCAACTTTCTTTTTATTCTTTTGCCCTTTAGTTTCTCTGTCTTGACTCTATAAACGAAATGTTTCCCATCGTCAGTCACCTGAAGCGACTGTTTACTCCTCGTTTTTCTCCAGCTCCCTCATTAGCCCCATCCCTCTCTTATTGACTGCCCATCTCTCCATCCTTCTTCCAGGGTGCAGGTGGAGTTCTATGTGAATGAGAACACTTTCAAGGAGCGCCTCAAGCTCTTCTTCATCAAAAACCAAAGATCCAGTGAGTTTTGAGGTCGCACTTCCTCGGTTTGGAATTACACGCCAGTTGTCTGTCTGCTGTCTTTGTTTCTACATGGGTTTGTGGCTGAAAAGACGTGTTTCATTCTTAGCGTGCAAAGCGGTGTTACACTCTTGCTCAGCATTTCATCATCTGTTTCCCAACTTGTCTTCTTTGTGAGATTTTCTCTTTCTGTGTGGTGATTAGGATTAAACATAATTTATGTTCCCCTCTAAACCATTTAAACGGAAAATCCGTCATTTCAGTTATGCACTTGAGTTATTTAGGATTATTCACAAATTGGTGCTGTTTGTTCTGGATTGCAGGTCTGCGAGTGCGAATGTTTAACTTTGCTCTAAAAGTGCTGAGCTGCCTCCTCTACATCGTCAGAGTCCTGCTTGACAACCCGCAGGAGGAGAGACAAGACTGGTGAGAGAACTGGCAGTAACAGTGGGATTAATATGGTGAAACTAAATCTCTGTGACTGAGAGGGTTTGACAGCGGTGACAGGAGCACCAGGTCAATAAATGAGACAACAGTGTTTATAAAGTAGCCTGATAAAGGCCTGAATGGGAGAAAGTAGTGCTGGAGACGCAGAAAAGTAAACTTGATTTAAAAAAATAAAATAAAATTTGGCCGTGCTTCGGTTCAGTTTTGGTGACAGATGCTTACATTCATTCCTTTTATCCCCACCTCTCTCTTTTGCTTGTTTTGCCCCCCTGCAGTGTTAGCGGACTTAACTGCATCAAACAAAACACATCATCCCGTCCCTGGAGTGAGTTTGACTGGTAAGCCCACACACTGGTGACTCGTTAATTAGGACTGATGGCTTCTGCCTGTTGACAAGGACCATGAAACCACATGCCCTGGAGGCCTAGCATCCTCGACCCCGGCTCACCGGACGACAATGTTCTATAACCCAATCACTGCAACTTCACTGAACTGATGCAATTCGCAATATTGATATTAAGCAGCACAGATCCCCATTCATTTGTCACAATCCAGCTGTATTGAATACCTGTCAACATAATATGTATGTAGTGCCTGTGCAGGCTAATCAGCAGCGATCTAGTGGAGATAAAGTGTGTAATATACAATAGTGGAGACCAGATAGTGAACACGGACCTGAGGCTATGCCGTGTCTCTTGTTCAGGGACCTATTGATCTAATTGATAGCTAATGACATTGGTTAAGCTCTGGCTCCGAATGAATAAGGAGCCTGACAGAGTGAGCTCATGAAAGGAGCAGGCTGCAAGATTTATGGCATCAGTGGTGGTAGCATCTATATGGCAGTCATGATACGCCCCAGGGTGTCTTAAAAGAAAAGAAAAAACACATTTTCTCTCGTAATAGGGATGTAAATTTGACTCTGTAAATATTACTTTCCTCCTACAATACAAACATATACCATATTTCAGCTGCATCACCATGATTAAGAAACAATTTGATTTGTTGTTGTGTTTGGCTGAAAAGAGCTGCTGCCTCTCAGCGAGCAGGTCCCTGGTTCAAACCCCGGTCCAGGGGCCTTTCTGGGTGGAGTTTGTATGTTCTCTCCGTGCATGCGTGGGTTTTCTTCGTGTACTCCGGTTTCCTCCCACAGACCAAAAACATGCATGTTAGGCTGATTGATAACTCTAAATTGTCCCTAGGTGTGAGTGAGAGAGTGAATGGTTGTTTGTCTCTATGTGTCCCTGTGATGGACTTGTGACCTGTCCAGGGTGTACCCCGCCCCTCGCACAGTGATTGCTGGACATGGGCACCAGCGACCCCCGTGACCCAAAATGGAATAAGCGGGTAAAGATAATGGATGGATGGAT